GAGCATTTTTATGAATAGGTATTATAAATGCTGATTTCTAATTTCCAGGTATTAAGCCCTCATAAATAGATCTTTTGAAAATAATTGATAAAGGTTTATATATAGTTTCAGGACACCTATTTAGCCGATTGGTTTCAATCGAGCGATTTCAGCAGCCTTTTTAATTCACAAAAATTAATTTCGATTGAAGAGATATCATTAACATTATTTAAGTTTACTGTTGAGTTATTAGACTGAATGAAGTAGAGTTGAAATATTTAGCAGAGTTTACTAATACCTTCACCTGAATTAGCAGATATACCGAAGCGCTTGGTGCAAGAAGGATATGAAGCATTTTTTTACTCTTTTAATTTACATGTACGTATTCCTAGATGAATATTCCAGCATTATCATTATCATCTCTAAACATAGGCCGTCCTCAATGAATGTCACAAAGAACAGTCCTTAGCCACCTGCATCATTCGACTCCCTACATCTCTTATCAGGTCGTCACTCTATCTAATTGAAAAGCGCTCTACATTGCTTACCGGCATGAAGTTGCCCACCCCAACGATTGTCAGTTCTTTGAGCTATATGACCATCTCATTGCTACTTCAGCTTACTGATCTGTTGCTCTATGTACTAATTATTACGATATACTCATTACGAAAGTCTGTCACGTAGAAAAGCTATGAGCACAGCCCTCTTTATAGCTTGTGACTCTGAGCTCCCTCATACGGTCAGCATAATGGACGCCACACACGGTCAGTTAAAATGATCAGTTTGAACTGACGTACATCCAAAAAGTGGAATTTTAAGTTGAAATTTTTAACTGACGACAACCCACGGGTTTTTTGGTCGCACTGTCGGTTGAAACTGCTCAGTCGAACTGACGTAAATCCAAAAACTGATCGTGAGTGCGTTCTTAATCTTAAGTTGAAATTTTTAACTGATGGCACTCCACGGAGTTTTCCGGGCGCGCCGTAATCCGCTGTTAATTAAAACAAACTTTCTTAGTAGCTACATACATTATTTCTATGCTATTTAGATTTTTTATTATTCTATATATTTAGAGAATTTGACTTTTTTGATTTGAGGTGACTGTGATGATGTCACCTTCCTTATCATTGACTCAGAAGATGGGTAAAGGAACTTAGTGATGCTACGTAGAACCGTCGTGTTTTTTTCAACCCATTTTCAAAAAGGTTCATGAAGACCTAGATGAATATGATGATATCACCTAGCTGATGGTGACACCAAAGGTGGGTATAGGATCTCAGTGACGCCACTAGATAGGACGATCGTGTTTTAACTCATTTGAAAGGGCGTATAAAGACCTAGGTGTCTGTCATGATCTCACCTTTCTCATGGTGCAATTTAAAGGTGTGTATAGGATCTCAGTGACGGCACTATTTTTATGTTATTATTATTATATATTGGAATGACACTTTTAAAAAATTTATTCTCCCAAACGGGAACAAACACAAGAAAAATAAAAAAAATAAACTAAATATAGTGTACCTATATGTGTTATGTACCTTAATACAATACTAAAAATTTATTATTTTATAAAACTGACATATTTGATTATCAAACAAATCAAATAATTATTTTAATAATTCTAGACTTTTTCTTTAAGAAAACGTTAACACTAGGATTTTCTCCTGTATCGTGGAGGCAATTTACAAACATAAATTGCACAAGGACAAACATCCAGACCCGGAACAATTATTTGCAGACCATACAAATACGTGTTCCGTGCGGGATTCGAACCCACGGCCCCCAGCGCAGCAACTGATCCCTAAGCCACGGAGCTTGTTTATTTTATCATTTTTGTACAATCTTATACTGGGGGCACACTAACGAGAAATGCCGTTAATTATCACGTTGATGGACGTTGAATGTAGACGTTGCCACGACTTAACGCGACAATGACATTAACAATGCCGTTTGCCGTTTGGCGATAACTCGAGTAGCGGTATATCAAAGAGATTAACGCATGAAATAACACGTTGAAGCGGCCACACTACGTTTGTCTGACTGTGCATGATGAGCGCAACAAGGTCGAACGTACGGCTATGATGGAACGGAATAATAAAAAAGTTATTACGTTTCTTAAGATTCTGCAAACAGAGCCATAATTGTGGGATTCGAGACTCAAAAGTTTTAAGAATCGTACAGCGCAAAATGATGCTTTGCGACGAATTATCCAATTATAATCTTTTAATACAACTATCGAAGAATTAGAGAGACGAAAGAAAACCTAAGGTTTTTGTAGAACCATTTTTAACAAATATAGAAAGTCTTCAAGGAACATTAAAGCCAACTTTAAAGCCGTTCAGTGGCATTGAAATTTCCACTTACACTTACGCTTTGGCTACACTTGAACGCTCCACGTTTAAGTGTAGTCAACTTTATCACGTTACTTTTGTGCGTTTATAGGCATTAACGTTTCCCGTTAGTGTAGCATCAGCATTAACGCGTTCGCTCGTTGCTCGACACAGAGGCGGGTAGGCGGGGTGATACCATGGTCGCGTGGTGGGCTAAGCGTTAAAATATGAATATCGACAGTCGATATTTTTTTCAATAAAAAGTTTTGATTTTTTTTATTTTGTCTCGTAAATAATTTAATCTACTACTACCTTTTACTTACCTTACCCTTTACTTCTGTACCTTATTTTATTCTATTAATTTTTCCTCAGTTTATTTATTTGCTTATTATCTTGAAAAGAAATGTAATTTTGTACAGTATATCTCAGTAAAGTAGTAATAAGTTTCGTAGATTATATAATTTTAATACCACAAACTGTGTGTTTTGGCGGGAACAATACTTAATTAATAGGAACTATAATCAAACATTTTGATACATTTATAATTTAACTTTGCTTAGTAAATATAATAAATGAACTAAACTAAAATGACTTACGGTTATTTTTTTAAATAAAGCCGATATAGATATTTTTTTCGATTTATAAAACTCAACCCCAATGATATGTTTATAATTATCGATACATCAAAAATATGATATTTTAAAAAATATCACAGTCCTAGTTTGGACTGATCAGATGGAATAATCAGTTGAACTAACCGTGGGTGTGGAAATTTCTTTGGCTTAAATTAGTACGAACTGATATCAGTTCGACTGATGACTAACTGGCTGTATGTGGACACCATAATAGTTTAAAGAAAAATAAGAAACACTACAAAAGGAATTATTAAGTTTTATTAAACAACTTAAACATGTTATTTAGTTGACACTGGTGAAAACTAGAAAATTACACTGCTAAAAAAGATACACTTATATACAAACAGAATTAAAGGTAAGAAGTATAAATATCGAACATCACTAGAAAAAAATTAACATATACAATCATATTTATTTCGTGGAATACATTTTACACTACCAGTGTCTAACATACATACCGACGACCATTTACAATATAAACACAAGTATTATTAACATATAGGCACATTGTGTTTCTCGAACAGTGTGAAGCATTATCAAAATTTGTTTTACTCTTTTTCTCATTTATTTTATTAAGTTAACTGTGAGAACTTTATAAGTAGTTAATTATGGCATTCTGGAGCACATCACTCGGTATAATATAATGAAGTTATAGACGCCAATGGCTAGTTTTAAGGTTAAGTATAACAATTAAAGAAATATAATATGAAGATTTTTGGGATTTCATAGTAACACAGGTATTTATCTGAGTTTTTTTTTTGTTGTTAATTAAAATTTACTATACACGTCAGAAACGTAGAAAATGTTTCCCCCAATACATCTGACTTACTTTTGAAATTATTAAAAATAAAAAATTACGTTCTCTGTCGGGTGCTGATAAATTTTTTTGTTTTCCCTTACCCGTTATACACCTTAGAAAGTTAAAAAATTAAAAAAAGCACTGGTTCAACTTACAAGTCTTAAGTTGTTACATCTTAAGTTGTCTGAAAAAGTTTTCTATTGGTGAGAAAAACTGTTTTTGCATACACTTCTCATATCATAATAAAACACGGTAATGAAGAACGATCGTGTCTTAGATTTAAACATCTGGCATAAAACATAGTTTAATTTAATTACAGTTTCAAATTAAAACTTTTAAATACCATACACATGCACTTTTATCAAGACTACTACGAAACCCCATACATTAATGACGCACACTCAATGAGCTAACTCAACATTTATTTGTTTTTAATGTAATAACGTTCACTAGTAATTTAATCTTTATCAACCCTTACTTTGAGTTAAGGATGAACTCATCAGTGAGTAAAATTTTATTATTTTATTCAAATTCTGCACCATAATTTAACTAAGCACCTACGTCATTAGAATTACCTGTTAGATCTTTTACGAAATTCGGTTTGTTAAAAAGTGTTCAGTATTAAAACTTTCACAAATATTCAGAATACAAAAACGAGACAGCACCTTGCTGGGACATAAAATTGCCTTTGGCTACATTAACAATACATTTTCTAAACTAATATTACTATATGAGATTCTTTTTAAACTTTTACAACGTTCGCTATATACAAATTTTTAGGTTAATTTTACATTTAAATAGAGTATAACATATCACACCGGAGGTAATATCGTAAGATTAATAGGGGGTCTTAGGTAGACATAATATATACAAAGGTTCGGATGATTTTAACAATTTGCACATTGCAAGAAGGTACACTACACTAAGAACACATTTAAATTTTAATGCAATACGCATTCTTGTAAAGAATCTAAAATACATTACTCAGTGACACAGTACTAGGCTAAAAGTTTAAGAATCGCTGGTAACATTGTTGCAAACTAGTCAAGATCCAGTTTGCAGCTCTAGATCACTTCGTTTCATTTTGTATGCTCTTGAACGACACTTAAATTTATTGAAAGGGTTAAAATGTCTTTACGTACAAATGTTCTATCACGTTTAAAATATCTAATTTCTTATTAAATTTAAAATTGGTGGAAATGTTACGATAAAAATTATAAATAATTTATTTAGCAATTATATTCATATAATAAAAACTTAAGAACGTTTATTTCGCACTTTTCCATTAACCATAAGTTCTGCTGGTTGAATTTTTCGAGGACGTAATATAAAGTTGAGATTGTATGCTGTATTTACTGCGTAGTAAACATTAGCATTCGCTGGAAGCACCATTTCTGTAAAAAAATGATAAGCATTATTAAATTATTACAATAAAACAAAATGCTCACTGTACCTAACCGATATATCGTTTTTAGAGATGGGCCGAATATTCGTTTCATATTCGATATTCGGCATATTCGGCAGCTTTACCGAATATTCGTATTCGGCCGAATATTTGGCTAAATCACCGAACATTAGTTAAAGTGGTAACCAAAGTGTCTACTGTATTGAAATGTACGAATGGAGTAATGCCATGTCTTTCATAATTTTACTGTAGATAGTATATTATATTATATCTACTAGTATAGCGTTAAGTTTTTGAGGTAGATTTATTTCCAATTATAGCAAATGGAAAGCATGATAAAATGTTTTTGGAATCAAACAAAGAAACATTACATTACATTAGTACATTTCACTTGACTTTGGTTATCAGTTTCTCTAAAATAACTTCAAAATGGTAGATCTCCTGCCACTCATTTTTATGATATAATTATCAATGTTCACTAAGAATAACACAGCGAAATACTTTTTTTCTCACAAAAATAGTCAAAACAAGCATATGCCTACAATTTGCTCAGTACTAGACGATGCAATAACATGTCAGGTGTGGCGGGGGAGCGAGGGGCAAGATCCGGCGCTAATCCCGCGCGCTTTACCGTGAATTTGCACTGACGCAAATTCTGTCAATTTATCAAAAAGCGTTCGCATAGTCAAAGAACATGTTGTAGTGAAATATGTTTAACAGTTTATTGTACATTACATATTTTAACTATATTATATTATCTTAGCGGTCTGCCGCCGTAGACCCTACATCACCTGAAGATGCCTCGTGTAGGGGCGAAACACATGTCGTATTATCATCGATTGTGTGTCTTTCCTGGAATAGTGGTGTTAGAGTTAGTGGTGACGGGATTAGTGCACGCAATTGAGGCAGGGCGGGAGGTGCTCTTCAAACTAGGTACGACACATCATTTGATTTTATTCAGCGGATGGTTGCAAACTAACTATTAATATATTTATAACTATATTATATCTTTATAACTACAGAAACAAAACGTTTGAAAACAAATTTGTAGAAATATTGTCATGATGAAAGATAAGTTTGAATATCTGTTGAAAATTTTACACAGTTTTTGTGAGTGCGAACTCCACCAACAACAATACATGTTGTGTGATTTATTTTATGCGATTTGTTTCAAAACATTACGTGTTGGATGTTTCTCAGTGCACACGTACTGTTACGGTAACAAGTTTTGACATAAATGGGTTAGGTACTGAGGTGATCCTGCCGAATAATATTTGTAAGTAATTGTAAAAGTTTTACCGAAATTCCGGCCGAATATTCGTATTCGGTGAAATCCATATCCGGCCCATCTCTAATCGTGTTAAATTTTACAATACTTAAGAAATCAATTGATAGCAAAATCATCAAACTAAGTTTCAATATGTACAATATTTGTCTGACCATATTGCAAGCTAAATTAAGTAATATAAGATGCACTAAACATACTAATAAATATAGTTAATAAATAAAAATTCAACTAAGCGGAAGCTCTGGGTAGGAGACTGAACAGCCGGAGCCAGGATCAGGGGGCAAAAAAAAGATGAAAACAGTCAACTTTTAAGACCGGATTTGTTCGTAACGGAGTCCCAATCGCTTCAGATGCCCCGAGGCTAACCGGTACTAATCCTTACGCAGAAACGACGACAGGATTATCTCTAGGCATTTCGTCTTCTCATGTCTTTCGATTTTAATGAAGTTCTCGTCACATAGAATGATGGATCGATTATAAGTATTCCATTTATGGTTAGTACTAAACACACTGCAAATTTACACATGCATCGTGTATGCAAGCTTAGGTGCAGCAAGCTTGAAAACATGTCTATGATATGTTAAATATATAAAAGAGGATGTCCTGAGTGACTGACTCATCTATCAACGCATAGCTCAAACCGCTTAACGCTGAAATCTGAAATTTAGACTTTGAAAAATTCAACCACTAAGAGGTAAGGTAAAGGTAAAATAGGGTGTTACGGTTTGTATGTATCTTTTTTATTTTACGAGGCTAATGACTTAATAAATTCAGGGGGACCAGAGGATGTTCAAATTTGTATGGAAAAAACTAATTTGTTAAGCTATTGCATAGCTTCTATCGCGGGCCTTAAGCGCGGGGACCGAATCCAGAAATTCCGTAACGAAAAAAAAAACCTCACGCTCCCCACTCCGACGGGCACGGAGGTGTGGCTGGAAAGCCGTACATTGTCTAACGTCGTTTCTTTTCGGCAGTCTTCGACACGGTGTTTGTGTGCGTGCAACTAGACGTATTGTATGACTCTACTTAGCTCGCACGAATCGAGACGAGCTGCTCCGAAATCGGACGAATATATAAGCAGCTGTTTATGAGAAAGTATATAGGTGTATAGGTATTTATGTACAACAGTGAATAGCTGTACTTGTAAAATTTGTGTATAAAGTGTTTTGAATATGAATGAACAATGATGAAATGCAAAAAAGTGCATTTATTATTAATGAAGAAAGTCACGAAAAAAATAGTGAAAGAAAATGAGTGAGTACTCTATATACATACATTTTATTATTATCACAAATGCAGTATTAATGTTGAATTGAAAATGTAATAATGCTATAAAGATAACCTAAATTTTTGATATTAAAATGAGCGATATTAAAAGTAGCCCTCTTTTATACACACAAACACACACACACACACACACACACACACACACACACACACACACACACACACACACACACACACACACGCGCGCGCGCGCGCGCATATAGTTTAAATTCTCAATTTAGATTCTCAATATGTATGATATATATATATATATATATATATATATATATATATATATATATATAAATTCATTCTTCATTATGTATGTAACAGAAGCCATCGAACCAAGCACGTGTACTATTCAGTACCTTTGTTTTTGGTGTATAGATAATGCACATGAATGCCGCGCAGAGAAAGTATATATGATATTATATCTATATAAATGTACATCACGCGAAATTTGATAATCACTTCTTAATATCGTTATTTTTTTTTAAATGAATAATTTTGTTTTGGTGTATCATTACACTATTTATACCTAATTATTTATACCTATTATTTATACCTAAATATTTTCGTTTTATAGAGAAGAAAAGCGTAAAGACCTAAAAAAGAAAAACAACTAATGCACGTCTAAGGGCATATTATCAGCGTCAGAAAGATTTGAAGCAAAACGAAGAAAAAAATAATTAAAAAAAAGAAACAGTACTGAACGTCAAAGGAAATTTCGTCAACATAATGCAGAAAAATGTTACATGGATATGTAATTTGATTTAATAATAATATTTTTAAGCTATTGCATAGCTTTTATCGAAGGCTTTGAGCGCGGCGACCGAATCAAGAAATTCCGTAACGAAAATAAACCTAACACCCCAAAACCTAACATCGTCTAACATCGTTTCAATTCGGCAGACTTCGGCACGGTGTTTGTGTGCGTGCGACTAGACGTATTTAACTTCTCATTTATTCAATAAAGGAAAAAAAATGTTTTCTTATCGGCCACCACGTTAAAAAAGTGTAAATTGCATTTAACATTAAAGAAAAAACTTGAATTAATATCAAAGAAAATATATATATATATATATATATATATATTTATGCAGTATTTTTTTGATATTAATTCAAGTTTTTTCTTTGATATTAATTCAATTTGTAAAATTCAAACCTTAAGGGGGGGGGGGGGGGGGCAGAATGTTATTTTGTCTATGAAACTTCACAGCTAATGAAATAAACGTTTAAGCTGATCTTTGGAATGGCTGTACCAACTGTAATGAAACTTCACGAACATTCAGAGAATTGCTCTCCAGTAATGATCGAAGCTATGATATACTGAGATTTTTTGTACAATGGAAAAATTGACCCATACCCAGGCGAAGCGTGCGCAGGGCTCTACACTATGAAATAGTACAAAGAAAAACTACCAACCTCTATCCGGTAAAACTTGAGCCAGCGTGTAAGTATCAGGATCACCGTCGAGATTAAGTTTAAGCATAGCGTTTCGAATAACTTGTGGAGTTCGCTCGTTGTTGCTTAACATTATCGATTTGTATAAAACTACACCCTCCGTCTCTACACAGTCAGATTCATATGTCACGCGAATTATATAAAAATCAGGACCATTACGTGTATTTGCATAGGCTGGACTCGTGGCAGTAACCTTTCCATTGGCTGGCTTTTGGCCACTATTCGCACTTGACAACGAAACATCAAGTGAAGGCAGGGACGATGATGAAGATCCATGCGAAAGTCTTGTAGGTGACGTTCGCCTTTCTAAGCTATCCCTCTTCCAAGCGTTACCAGCACCATCGGTTTCGCAATAAAATTGCGAACTGTTACTTGAACTTGTGCTCGCGATAGAATCATTTTTTCTATGCCCTTGATTATTGTTGTCATTGATTTTCTTAGGTCGCCTGTCTTTGGGAGGATTCGTCGGTGGTTCTATTTGACACGAAAGCTGATACGCTTCTCGATCATCAAGTATAATAACGGAGTCAAACCATCTGTCGAACATAGCGTCGCAAGGTAAGTGATAAGCGTTCGCGGCACCTTGTAATAGTTTTATTTGAGCTAGCACCTCGAATTCTTTACGCCGTTTGTCGAAATTTATTAAGCCATCCGCCACTGTATCCGGTATAGCAGTATCTATCATAGTTAGATCTGTCAAAAAAGTTCCCAAATATGGTATAGTTCCGTGGCTGACTCCAGGCGACCCTCTTTCATGTAAAAGCTTTTGTAATTGGCGATCGTTCTCGCCAACAGTATCTGCGAATTTGGCTGTACCCTCACGCATTAAAAGTTCTCTTTGCGCCCAACGATTGTTATCTTCACTGAATATACGAGCGAGCTCCTCAAACAGTTCTGATTTTTCTTTGGCTAATAAAGCCCACGTTTTTCTTAACCTATATACTGGATTACTTTGTAACCCTGATATAATAGCTTTTAGCGATGAAAAGTTTTTTAGCACCCTCAATTCACGGGCTATATCTAACCACGCGGCTAGTATGTCTGCGCGCTCCAATGGCCTTAAATTTGGTTCTACCAGCACAGTTGATATAACTCTAAAAGATACTGCATTAAATTGGTTTACGGTGGCTAAGACAGTGGCGGCATCGTGCGAACGATCTTTGTCTCTTCTAGACCATATTGCTCCAAGACATTGATGAGGCACTAGCTTCTTGAAGAGTTCCATGTCCATCCGGGTGAGTTGTTCGGCAAAATGTCGGTGGGGTACATGGGGTAGACGATAGGTACTGGTGTGATGGGCAGTAAGCCGCATCCCTGGAGCTAAACACACTCCAGCACCAGTACCAGCGCTCGTACCGCCATTGCGCTCTGCACTGAAGACTGCTAGCTTCTGTAATACCTAAAAATACAAATTTCGTAATAACTATTCATAAATGTGTTATAAACGTTAAAATACGATAGTGGATATAAAGTAAAAGCACCTTCAAATGTAGCTCCGAACCAGGCAGATGAAGCTGTGTGAAGGCGAGTAGCTGCTGCAGTGCAGGATGGTGAGGAGGTTGTCGAAAGTCCTCCGGATAGGTGTCCAACCAAACGTGGAGACATGCCACCAGAGTCCTAACAACGAAATAAGTTTATTAAGAGACGAAAAGTGTAATATTCTCTTCAAAAATAATACGTATATTCAAAAGAATAAAGCGTTAGCAATATAAAAAAGCATAGCGCAAAATGTTAAGCAAGCTTCAAACGTGAATGTCACTTACTTTCGATGTTGTTGAGAATTATCAGAAGCAGTTGGGAGAACTTCCTCCGAAGCTAAGGCCTCATATCGCCGAAGCAACAAATCTAAAACCCGGCTGCATTCTGCGAATGAGCTGTAAAAAGTAATATTGATATTAATTATAAATAAAAACTGGCCAAGTGCGTGGCGGGCACAGAAATCTAAATAATAGTGCCTTATAATTTAGATTTCTGTGGTGTCGGGCCGCGCACAATGTTGAGATAGGGTTACGTAGCTAAAGTTAAAAGTTAAAGTTACAGCCTACATACGTCCCACTCCTGGGCACAGGCCTCCTCTCAATTCTGAGAGGGTTTTAGGACAAGGAAATAGTCCGCCGCGCTGTCCCAATGCGTGTTGGCGAACTTCACATGTCTTCGAAATATTTTTTCTTATTTCTCAGACATGCAGGTTTCCTCACGATGTTTTCCTTCACCGCCCAGCACGTGGTAAATCAGCACTTAAAATTGCAATTAACAATTTCATTGGTGCCGGCGGGGATTGAACCCGGTTTGCTGGCGTATTGTGAAATTTACAGCGAGCGCTAATCATGTGAGCTACCACGGCTCTGGGTTACGTAGTTGCCCGTCACAAAACGTGAAATTAAAAGGAGCTTTCTCGACAAGGGGCATATTGAGTTCGGGTTTGACCGTTATAATGACTAAAATTGTGTCCAAATTTTCCTTTTAATTTGATTATGTATACTACTATTGTGTAGTTGGCAGAGGGGGGAGGGACTAACGACTCCAATGAAAAATACTACTTTAAAACTAAATATTTCCCAAACGGACCCCTGAAACCCTGAATCGAAAAATGTTGTTCCATACCCCCAATGTTTTTGAAAGACAGCCTACACGATGAAATAGACGAGTAAAAAAATTAATCCTCCCTTAACCTCTATGGGAGGTACCCAACCTCCTGTTCCCAAAATAAAAATGTTTTTTTAAGTTTTTATTTAAAAGTTGTGTAAAGGCGTTATTAATATCTAACTAACTATACCATATTACAGATTTTTAGCACCTACGGTCTTTGAGTAAAACCGCGGACGGGCATGACGAAACTATAAGGGTTCCTTGTTGATTAAGTACGGAACCCTAAAAATGGTATAAAATATAAACTTTTCGATATCACGAGTACTTTAAATTTCGATATATTAAAAACTACAAACAAACCTTACCTGGATACTAACTAGAAATATTTTCGTAATTTTCTACTTCATCTTGGTGTCTATCTAATCGAACATTCCTTAATTTACAATTATATTTACATATACGCATAATTATTTACTTCTTGAAAGAGATTTTATATAGATTATAGTGTAGCTGTTACCATTGATTTATATATTACACTACATCAGTAATAATCGCGCCAAAGCGGTGCCACTGCACATATGGCCACAGTCATATGCCTAGCTAACGTCAGTTCAGTGTTCAATGTGACGCCGACAGAGTTGAGCCGCGTCAAAAAATGGGTAAAAGCGTAGTGAAAGAATGCTATTCAAGGTCACAAAACGTAAAAAACCAAGCGAAATCACTTTCAACACTTAATATTTAGTTCTTGTTTTCATATAAATGTAAAAAACCTCAAATAATTAAATAAAATTATCGAATATTGCCATTTAGGTTCAATGTTGCCAGTTTTCCGCATTTGTGATTATCCTACATTAATGGTAGACTATATAATTAATGGAGTAAGTTAATTTGTTACCTCTGATTTTAAATATTTGAAATTATAATAAAAACTACGTTTTAAATATCATACAAAATAATTGATTATTATTATTTTAGTTTATTCGTGAATTATCTATTAAATATATTTTGTTACCTATTTTATATTAATTATAATTTCATATAAATTATATTTAATTACCTATTTTATATTGTTTTATTATTATAATAAAAATACTTATAAAAATATGTTTTATTTCATCATTATGTTTACTTCTTCCCAATAAATTTTTTAAATAAAATATACTTTTTTAATATAAAAACAAGAAACTGCAGCTTAAAAAAACTCATTTTTATTGCGTATTTTAGGTAATATTTCATATAGTAAGCACCACCCTCCCAACCCGCCATTGCATGTTTGTGTGTCTATCTTTATCTAATCTTAGCGAAGATATTGTTTTCGCAACTTGTGTAAGTGAGATAGATAACATCATTGATGATGATGAGAGATATATGTTTATTTAAAATTGTTATTAGTTTCAAAGCTACGTCGTCGCGTTTGGATAGTGGTTACACCCCTCTTACACTACCCTGAATCATGCTCCCTATGCCCTGATTCAGGGTGGTATAATAAGAGAAAGGGAGTAAGGGTCCCTAATTAGGGCGACAAAGTGCACCCTGTCTGCAGTGCCCTTGCCACAGTGTAGTGTAATAACACTTAGGGTAGTTAGGGATGAAAACGATACATCAATTCTTTCTAACATCGATATATAGTTCATAAATATGGTTATTCATGAGCGATGTTTTATCAACGATGTTTTGGCTTGCCGTCAAAGGTTTCGAAATAACCAACTATTTGAAGGTATAAAATTCCGTATGTTAAGAGGTTAGAGTAAGTCAGCTCAAATTCTAATTTCGCCCCCACTTCCCCGCGCGTCGTATGCTATGTACCGAAATATTTGTAATCACTAATACTGTAAGTAGAAAGGTCGTTGGACACTTATTTCATTAGGCTTATCATATTTATGCCTGTTTCTTAAAGCCAAGCCAGCCGCTTCTTATTTTTATCACGGTTATTTCCCATTTTAATTTTACGTCGTACTGTTGCGTAATGTATATTCTGATCGTAAGCGACACAACTTCTCCCTTCAAAAGCCTAAGCGATACTAACGGAACGACAGGAATCAAGCTCAAGACGCCGATAGTTTAGGTAATTTCTTTTTACAGTGAAAATAATGGTATTTTAAAAAAAGTAAATAACATAAGCACTGCTTTATAGTTAGTTCAGTTAGTATGCAAAGTTTCATGATCTTATTTAAAGTATTTTATGAATAACAGCGGTTTATTGTTTATTTTGGAGGTAACTTTGGATTTTTTTTTCTATCGAGAAAATTTTACGAAATCGTGTTTTCGTCTAACATAATCACTAACTATAATCCTCAACTTTACCATATATTTATTTCAAAATTAATGCTGCAATATTTTCGGCATAACGAAGGATCTTGCTAAGCCATTTGACATTATATTTCCCCTTAAAAGTTGCAAACGATGATTATCACGAATCTTATATCGCCGAAAAATAAATATGCCAAAAATATATCTCAAAGTTAGATAATGTCTAAATTTTTAAAGTTAGAAGGTTTATTTAGCAGTAATATCACAATCCCGAAAATTTTAATTACGAATCAACAAACAGGCGAATGGTCTTTCAGTCGAAAATAAATTGTACTCTCGACTCAAATACACTTGAACTTCAGAAGTGCAATTATCTTCAATCGGTTATTTTATTTTTGATGTAAAATTGTGGTTTATTTTTAATGTGGTTATGAATTAACATAAGTTTACAATTAAAATTGAAAATAGATTGGAATGGTTTTATTCATTTTTTTTAATAATTATATTGTTTGAGCTTTAACTTAATCAATAGCTTAAGTACAGTTTTTTAGAGTAATAGTTATTTTGTATTGGAAATTTTTTTGGCTTACGGTACTTCGTATTTCGTTACAAACACTTTTCTGAAACATTAATTTTGATGGATGAACGGTTATTCAACTGCTTGTATTTTGGTATAGTTTAGTAGATGTATTCAGAAAATGCGATAATACTGAAGGTGACATACGGAACTACCATAAAGAAGTAACGCACCAAAACATAAGAAATAAAACTAAAGCAGAAGAAGAGTTTCATATATTACATGCGTTGGAGATGTGGGATGGCACGAAAGGGTTATTTCCCGGGCTTCATAGCCTAGCTAAAATCTATTTGCCTATCGTGGCAACTTCGGTATCCAGTGAGCGGTTATTTTCGGAGGCTGGATCTACAATCATCCAGGAGAAACCGCGCACTAGGCGCCAGATTGTTAAAATTGTTATTTTAAATTTCAATTCGAAAGAAATAAACATAAAAGTAAAAAAAATAATACTTGTTTTCTGATAATAATTCGATAAAAATAAATTTGTAAAAATAAATAGTGTAAAACTTCCTAAAATAACATAAATATAATGTTTGATATTGTTATACTTCTTTTTTCATTTCTGTTATATATATTTATATATATATATATATATATATATAATAAATGATGATAAAAACATCAAAAAATCCAATATATCGAACTTAAGCTTCCATGTTTTAATGAGCGACGTTGCATCCTATAGATGTGCTTAAAACAAAATTAGCTTTTTATCAGTCTTCACAAAACAACATCTGTCTAGTTTTAAGATGTAGGTAAATAAGCTATTTAATAGTTCAAATATTCTTAAATAACTTAACTGTCATAAAATTGTAAATAACAATTTATTATGGTAGTAGCTAATTCTCTTTGTAACACAAAGCGCGCACATAAATACACGCACTTAAATCACTAGAAATCTTAAGGTCACAAATAATCTTTTCCTACACTTACACTCTTTCTTTAAGCCGTACTTTGTTTTTCGATATAAGGAGCTAAACTTAATGGCTCCTCTAACTCTTCTTCCCCTATTCTCAGGTATTCGAAATTCATTGGTCTCCAGAACTCCGATAATCCGCATATTTGAGTGATTTTACCTAAGTTTTAAATAGTCCTTCACCCATAGCTTTCTTCTAAACACAACAATAGTAACGATAAAGAAAAGAGTTCTTTACTATTGATAGTCATGTTTTTTCGTCTTCAAAACGTCCAGTAATAAAATTTTGGCCCTTATCCCACTACATCATGCAAAACGTGACGATATATCGATATTAATCACGCAATAATATTGATAGTGTTTAAAAATATCGATTCAATAAATATACTTTTTTCACATCCCTATGACCGAGAAAGGGCGTAAAATCAGGGTAGTGTAATAACTCAGGTCCCTAATTAGGGGACATGCCCACCCTTCATCCAGGGCCCTGATTCAGGGTAGTGTAATAGGGGCATTACACTTTTTTCGACGCGCGGTAATGT